CTCCACGCCAATCACCTCGGCTGTCCACTCCTCGCACACGACCGACCGCACTAACCGTGGCAGGTCCAGCATGCCGCCGTCGCCATCCCGCAGAGCGGTAGCAGCCGGCGCCCGCAATATGTCCTCAACCCACGGAGGCCGCCCTTGCCATCCGAGGCGCGTCCTGCTGCTCTGCTGGACGGCGACCAACCTCTGGTCGTTCCCCTCCGCGCTCCGCCTCATCCAGCAGCGCCGCATTGGTCCGTTGAAGCCGAGGGCAGGGGAGATGGATAGAGTAAAAGGAGCCGGATGCGGCTGTCTCCTTGGCTTCTGCGGCGTGAACGCCGGAGGCAAGCGGCGGCGCGTGCCCGGCGATGGAGGCAGGCAATGGATTAGTGGCGTGAACGCCGGAGGCAAGCGGCGGCGCGTGCCCGGCGGTGGAGGCAGGCAATGGATTAGTGGCGATAGTGGCAGGGGGTTTTCTGCAAAACAAAACGAAACGTTATTCATCGGTAGCACACTTTAAGTAGGAGTGCGGGTTAATTTCTCAGAAACTGAAGGACTTCTTTGCAAAAAGGCCGACGACGGACGACCAGAAGCACTCCCTGCTTTATTAGTATATATATATATATATATTATATATATATATATATAATATAATATAATATTATATATATATTTGTTTTTTCCCTTTTGGTTTATAAAGCCTCCTACTTTTTTTTTTGTCTCTACAAGGACACACCAAAAGAACCCGTTAGACAAGAAATACGTAAACATGCACAGATGAGTATATGAGATGGTTAACATATATCTGCGTATTTGCCGTAAAGATGAGATGGTCAACATATAAGAAGGCGCAATCCAAAGCCTAAGTGGCACAACATTTGTAGAAACTGCAAGCCGAATCAAACAACGACAAAACTGAAGAGCGTTGATTTTGCTTCATCATCCACAAAGTACCTAAAGAAGCTCATCCTGAACATTCCAAAGCAAGTATGGCGTAGAAGAGAACCTGTTAAAAACATACTGCCTTTTTACATGCTTTTCTTCATATTCTATTTGTGACTTCCAATAAATAGATATAGAATTGCATGTATATGCGCAGAAGCAGTTAGTGGCATGCTACAAAACCAGTTTATCCAGCTTCAAAATATTCATCCGAAAGATGACAACGATCCATTTTTTATCATCAAACAAAGTACCAAAAATATCCAAAAAGGTTACAATATATCAGCATCCTATGAGAGCTGAAATTTGTCTCTAATAGTAATTTTATCAGTATAACAATATATCATGCATAAGAGGGCTTATAGTGTATGTACTGTTAAAGTTGGGATGTTGTTGCAACTCCAGAACTATTTATAACCATACTTGGTAAATCATAAAGCTCTAACTTCCAGAGTTCATAAGATTTAGTTTTTCCTAAAAAATAGCTTCACCCTCACACAATGAGTTTTTTTACTTTGCATTGCAAAAGAAGGAAACAAACTTGTAGGCTCCAGATTTACTGGCTCTATAATATCGTGAGGTGATTTCGCCTAGAAGGTAATAAACCAATCACCAAATTAGTTCAGATTGTTGAGAGAACACCGATTGAGTAGGAAACTGATCTCTCATCCATTCACTTGAACATTATAGAGATAAGGATCTTGCAAGCTACAAAATCTGCATGACTACGAAGGAAACATCATGTCATGGCATTCAACTACTTGTCAGCTTGTACATTAGGAAGACAACATATGCATACTAAATTACTAACGTGTCCTGCTAGGTCAGAGTTAGCTGCAGCATGCAACGACCTTCATCATATCGTCCACATATATTGCTGATCGGCGCTGAATTTGACATAACTCATATGCTTAGGTCTAGTCTTAGCAACAAAAGGTAGCCAAAAAAAATCCAACAAGCAGTGCGTGGGAACAGGCAAGTATTACATCTGGCCTTTGCTCGGAGGTGAAGCTTCATGGCTTCGTCGTAGTGGTAGATCACGATCCTGGAAGTGCCGCGGCGCCCTCGGCGACCACCTCGACTTGCACAAAGCGAGACACGTCCATGATGATTGGCCTCCACCAGCCCTCAACGTCGCCATCATGGAGGAACAGCTGAGCCTCCACGAGCAGCTCGCGCTGTATGAGATGCATGAGAGTTGGCTCGGTGCGGGAGGTAGGCTGGAGGAGCAGATTGTGCGGCGACGCGCACCTGCGGACAAGAGGAGCAGGACGGGTCGACCTCCGGGCCGCACATGAGAGGTCGGCAGGTGATGGCCTGAGATCTGCGTTGTTCCTCGATCATCACATGGTCGTGGGATACATGAGGTGAGGAGGGATGTGGAGAGAACCGGTGGAATTGTTAGGCTAGAAAATTTTGGTATGCTAAAAAAACTGAAGTGGTAGGTGGGATTGGACCGGGAAGTTAGGATTTGATCGTGGATTATTTTCAGAAGAGAATTGCCTTACCTGGAAACTGGGGATTACAACACGATTATTCCCTCGATCGGAAAAGACTTGAATTACGATCGAAGCGAAACGATGGAAGCGAATGACGACGTACCACGACCTACCATCAAAACCGCAGATTCCTAGGATTGGCTTTGTATATGGAAGGGAAGGATGAAAGTATTGGTGTTTTATATGGAAGAGTGGGATCGATGGAAGGATGGAAGGGTTGGTTTGGTTCTGGTGATGCATGAATTAAAACCGGTCCTGGTTTTCGGAGGGAGGAAAAAAATTGGTGGGAAGGAGATCGCCTGGTGGAGGAGAGATAGATGGAAGGGTGGGAACGAACGAAACAAACGAACGACTTACGTACTGAGACATTAGGAGTAGAGATAGATTAATGGAGTTAGACACAAGATGTGTTGTGTGTGGTCGTTTGTTTGAAGATGGCATGCATCTGTTTATTCAATGCAAATTAGTTAAAGAATGATGATGGGATCCTAAAAGAAAGAACGATAATAGGCACTACTGCTAGAGGAGGTAGGTTCTAGTCTTTTCGCTCTCGGCTCAGCGAAGGAGATTATCCAAGCTATACTTCGTTTGCCCGAGGACAAAAACTCACTACTATTGGGATGGATGAATTCCAATATCTGGTATGACATAATGTTACCAAATGGACAATGTTTCTAAATCCGCCACCAGCAACTGAAGTTACCGCTCGTCGTTCCTGGAAGCCCCTGCCACAAGACATGGTTAAGATCAACACCGATGCATATTTCTCCGCTGGATCTCGCAGTGGAGGGTGGGGATTTATTTGCAGGAATTCCGCCCGCAAAGTTCAGTTTGCTGCAGCACAAATGTTTTATCAGATTCACTTCACGCCGAATCAGTTGCCCTTCTTGCATGCCGTTTCCTTTGCTGACGAGATGAGAGTAGGGAGGGTCCTTTTGAGACCGATAGCATGGTTCTTCAACGTGCAGTCTCCTTGGATGCTTATGGTTTTGTACTGTTGGACAACCTTTTCAAGGAGATCAAGCTGAAAGTTGAAACTCAGCCCATTCAGGCGTGTATGGTACATCTTCACCGTGATTGTAACAAGCCACCACCGCATGTGCTGCCGGCGTTGGGGGCAAGGTTAAGCCATTGGCAATGGATGTGTATGGCGACAGATAAGCCAATGATGTAACCAACGGTCTCGCCGTGTCTTAAATAAAACACAAGTGTTCCTTAAAAAAAAAAGAAAACTCCGGACAACATTGCATATTTCATCCGTACGTACATGGTTGGTATCATCCGACGCTACCCTGCATACGATATTGACAAAGAATGACCAAATTCAAAATTTCCGTCTGAATTCTCGTCTGAAACAGCAAAAACTGTCCCGGCTGAGAAGAGATCCACCGGTGCCGTGCTTTTTGCTCGAAGGAAAACAAAGCACACGTCCAGCCCAGCGAACCACACGGCACCGGTAGGCAACGTCGTCCCTCCTCCCTCTCGCCCGTCTCCCCAAATCTGAAGGCCCCGGACCCCGATTCTCGCCGGCGCCTCACTCCCACCCAAGCACCGGCCTCGAAGCCCTCTGCCGTCCCGTCCTCCCCTCAGCTCGGTTGGCGGGCGGGCGCGGAGTGGAGATCCCGCCGGCCGGCCGGCCGGAGTCATCTTCTCCCTCGGTAAGTCCCTGTCGATCTCTCCTTGATTCTGCTCGCCGTGAGAACCCAGCCCAGATCCCCCCCACGGCCGCTTAGCTGCTACGTACATTAGATTAGTGTGAATGCGTCCATTGTTGGATTTGCTCCCTCTATCTCCTATGTCGTCTCTCTCACCCACCCGGCGGAGCCCCCTTTCCCCATCCCGTTTCCAAGGCAGCACAGCAGCACCCCCTTGCGGCTGAGTCCGCTCGCGCGAGTTCCCGAGCTGCTGCCAGATCCGACGTAGCCCTGGCGTGGTAGATAGATTCGCGTGCCTGTCTCTGGATCGAGATTGAGATGCTGCTTTGAGTTGCTTCGCATTCTATCTCTAAAATCGAAGCCATTCCAAACCAATCAACAGCATTCTATCTCTCATTCTCTCCAGGCATTGTCTAGTCAGGATCTTTGCATCGCCATTTATGCAGCATAAGGACTACTTACTCGATTAGTTATCTTCACTCTCAAGTCCTGGGGGTCGCTACCTGGTTGGCAGGCTGCCGTGTATTATGTTTTTTCTTCTTCTCTGTGCTGGTTTGGCTTTGAGTAAGTCAGGTGTACTAGTAGTGCCAAAAAGCTCTCTAGGGCAAACTTACAATCGATAATCGACTTCAGGGCAAACGAAGAGAAGCTTCTCAACCTGGAAAATTACTAGGCTTGTTTCCCATTTATGGAGAGAACTGTAGATTTGTACTGAAGTTGTTTTGACATATAGAAAATCCTCCTGAATAAGTTACCGCTGCAGTTTGATGTACATAGATTTATTCATGATGAATCTCCAGGTGGACCGTGTCATTGTTACCAGCCACAGCTTTAGAAGAACGATGCATCTTGTGGGCTTATTCTTTCTCCATGGGCCGGCGGGAATTTGTTGAATTGGAAGAGTTACTGGTCTGATAATATGTCACTCCGACTTCCACTTCCGCAAGGGCTCTCCTTTTTCAAAAGTGCTGGGTGGTTTGAAGACAGTAAGGTTGATTCAGCTGCCAAGCAGCACTTGTCTCCAAAATTTAAGCTCCAGACAGACAAGGAAGTGTATAGACCTGGTGATTCAGTTACCGCGACTATCCAAATCTGTAGTCCCGCTAGTTTAAAGGATGAAGCGGAGGCAGCGTCAGGTGGAGTCATATCTCTCTTGGTAGATGGGCTATCTTTCGAACTTAAAGGAATTGAGAAGTTGGATAGCCAATGGTTCTCTGTTCCAAAGCCCATACCAGGGTCTAAGCAAAGGAGAGGTATTTAACAACCTAGCTTTCATCTAAATAACTGATCAATCTGTCTTTTATTTTATTTCTGATAATCCTCTTGTGTTATAATTGATTATATAGGTGAATATTTGTTTTTGGATTGTTCGGCACCCTCATTAGTCTCCAAAGTAATAATTGCTTCGGGGCAAACAAAAACATGTAAGTTATCTCTTGTTTTGGAGGATCAATGGAGGTTGATAATGCACTTATCATGTAGTGCTACATTTCTAGATTGCTTGAAACGTAAAGTAAATATTGTTCATATGCTTTACCTCCATTTTTCCTAGTATTGTACGACATGTTGGTGTAATACAGTAATTTGAATTTGCTTTGCTTCTTATTCTGCAAATCACCTGTCTCGTCAACCACCCTGTGTTTGATCTTAAATATTAGTTATTGATCTATCCATGTTCTCATTTTTCACATTACGTCAAAATCAAACTTTAAGCATCCATGATTCTACTTGTGGAGTCAAAGTGAATACAGTTTTGGCTATACCTCTTTTATGGAAGGTCATGACTCATGACTATGAGGATTTACTATTTAGGGATATGCTGCTTGCATGTTTTTCAAACACTCTAGGAGGGCCAGTTCCTGTTTTGCCCAGGATCTTCAGTTGACAATGGATAATTTCCCCCTGTTAACTTGCTCACTTAACTAAATCCTCTGCATCACGTGAAATACAATGATCTACATTTTTTTTAAGAAATTGCAACTCAGCTCTTTTTTTTTTGCAGATATTGTACGTCTAGAGCTCCCAAGGATTTTACCACCATCATATAGGGGCATCAGTATTCGCTATATTTATTATGTTAGAAGTACATTGTTTGGGAGATTGATTGACTTGGGTAATGAGGATGAAACTAAAGGCAATGTAAATAGTGCGGTTCAGCTGGTGAGTTTTCTTCTTGTAGTTGGCATAAAATTCTACTCCTTAAGTTCAGACAATCTGTGCTGAAATCAAATTGACCCTAGTCTTGTAATTATTATTCTTTTATTAATTTAGTTGCAGTAGGAGCCTCTCCTTTGCTGAAATGTTGGAAGCTTTGATTTGTTAACCATCCATAATTTCATTGGTGATTTGTATTATTCTTTGAACTGAGTTCTCTAGCCTGTGACTTGTGAAATATTTCTAGTGCATGTTTTCTTGGATGTACTAATGTGATAATTTTGGATCTAAGATTCTAATCTAACTATCCTAGCAAGATAATATATTATTATTAAAAAACTAAAGCCCATTGTTTACATATTAAATTTTAATGTATGATTAGAAAACCAAGTAAATACCTTGCAAAATGGGGTGTCGCAGTTCAACCTTCGGTCTTCTATTGATTACCCCTACATCCTTATCCAAGGGACACAGCAAGATGGTAGTCAAGTTTACTGAAGGGTTAAGAACATACAGTATTTTAATAAACAATCTTACTTAGTGTTAAAAATATTAGTCTTAAACTCATAATCGCACATGTCTGAGGTTTTAGGGCATGAGGACCTGACTTAATTCGAAAACTTAATCTTGGAAGTGTAGAACTAGAACCCCACAGAAAGACATTGACTGATATTGGTTCTTGGTTGCCTATCCTGTAGCATCAGAAGAATATGCCGACAATTCTTTTACATGTCTGCATGTCTCCATTATATTGTGATGATGGGAGGCAACTGCAGGCTTCCATATATTTGAGCATTATATGGTCCATCTATTTCCTCAGTTATACAAGAATCACCAAGACTAATGTTAATTTTTCTATCTCCTTAAAGGAGAATTTGATAGTCAATGCATGTTTGTGCTGCTTAAGCTAGCCTTGAGCTGAGTTCTTTGAAAATTCTCTTAACCATTGGACTGAAAACAACATGATTCCATTTTCTTATTTCTAGCATCATTCTCTACTTCATACCCAGTCTTGTAATGCAATTATGGAAGTTTCGGACATTAAAATAAGCCAAATGTCTCAGAGCGATAGCTTAAAATTGAATTCATTTCTGTAGGAAACCCGAGTCCCATTGCAGATATGTGTTTCCCAGAAAAGCAGCACCTTACTAAATGAAGAAGGTCAGTGATGTAAATTCAATAATTTAAGGTTCTTGCACTTCAGTCATCCTGTGTATTTTAAAAGTATGTTGTTGATTAAACTACTTTTCTGTTAAGTAGTGGATTCACTCACTGAAGCATGCGGGCTTACTTATTCACCGAACATGTGGGTTACATAGCTTTTGTGTGTGTGTGGGTGGGGGCCTATATATTTTTGGCAAGGTTGGAAATAATTATTAATTACGATACTGTATTTTGTAACCATCATGAAATGCTCAATAATGCCTTTTTTATTTGTATTGCTACACCCACTCCTCACAGGTCACATCTCGTGCTGTGATTGTTATATGGATCTTTTCAAAGTTTTCATAACCTTCACATCTTTGTGCGGTTGGTACATTTGTGCTTTCATAACACCTTATCCTCAGTGGTGCACAAGTGATTTTGTTCAACATGGATACTCTTTATATCAATTCCAGTTTCACCGGGATTCCTATAGGTGACTGAATTCCAGTGGTTCCTTCTTTTAGGAAAATGCGTGTAGCTTTCTCTTTTCAACCTTTCATGAAAACCTATATGCACGACAGTCGTAAATAATATAGTAGAGACTGACACCACAATCCTGTTTAAATACGTACCAACAACTGAATGCTGCAGAGTTGTTACTGGATGTGCAACAGCAGAATTTTAGTGATACTAAACTGCATACTGTGTTAATCCTCATCAATGCTAAACTGTTTACATATCTCAGGGAGTTTTCCACTCTCGGTTGAGCAACTGAGTATATTTTGGAGGGAAAAAGATGATGAGTCAGAATGGGTGAGTCCTTATTTAGTTTGTAACCCATCTCCGAGATTTCATTGCACTTAAATTATTTTTTATCCGTTTCTTACACGTTATCTTGCATGAGTTTGTTTCTACAGTGATATCTTGTATGAATTGTCCATAGTTATTTCGATTACTTAAACAAGGACATGTCAGTATGCAGAAGATCTGTAGTTTGTAATTTTGTCAACTGATGAAAATGTTAGTAGGATCTGAACTGTTTTCCAATGTATGGTATTTTTCATGTACATAGTAATTATCGACTAATCATGCTAATCAGTGATATCCGTATATTTCCATGATTGTTGTTTCAACCCATGCTGAGATATAATATTCTTATTGCAGATCAAAGCAAATGATAATACTGATCTAGAAGAAGGATATGATAGTTCGAAAGATGAAGTTTCATCGGTTTCCTCATACAACCCTTCCAAATCAAATACGGACTTTCCCATCAGGACCTCAACATCGACGCTCTCCTTATCATCACGTCTCTCCATGAATGAAGCATTGTATTCTCAGGGAGAGCGCCCCACTTTCCCGTCATATAATGCAATTCCTCGATTCTCAGTGTCCGAGATTTCTGATGACCATGGTGGAGGTAAGGAGTGAACCTTATAGTTTGTGTGGGACTGCAAGAGCTGTGATATTCATAAGGAAACACCAATGTCCCAATACTGTCAAGTTCTGCTCTACAGGATTCTATCTGCCTTGGTGCTTCCTAATGATTAATTCTGTTTACACTTACATATTGTCATATTAATTATTAGTGTTTTAGCTCCCAGTTTTCTTTTCATGCACAAGGACCTGTTTTCAGTTCTCCTTTTTTTTTCTTTTCGAATTCAAATTGACTAGGCTTATTCCTCTTCCGTTTCACAATGAAATAACAAGTCTTACATTAGTCAGGTCTCCATGAGAATGCTACCTATTTGTCCTTTCTGTAAATGTTTAATGGTAAATATTTGGGTGTTTAATGAAGTAAATGGCACAAACAGGACCGGTATCACCTCTAAGGAAGCTAGATCATTTGCATTTGGATCGTCATCCATCAAATGGCGAAAGATTTTCTCTAGATTCTGACCGCCCAAAAGATGACGTTGGACTCCCTCTCACGCCAAAACATGTTGAACCATCTGGATGTAAGCCACCGTGTCTCAGTTATGGAGTTATTTTAATCCATCATTGCTCCTTTTGTTGTAAATTACATGCCATGTGACAAACATTGATTTCCATTCTTAGTTGCACATTCAATGTTTTGCAGCAGAAGGCTTTATGAGAGGAAGATCATATAATATACGAATAGATGATCAAGTCTTGCTTCGTTTCTCACCAAAGAATTCTGACTCAACTTATTACTTTGGTGATATGGTATTTTAATTACCCTTACTGCGCTTGCTACTGGCTTACTGCTTTGTTGTTGGTAGATTGATTATCTTATTTTGCCGATTGCAGATTGGTGGAGCACTCACTTTTTTTCATGGAACTGGAACACGGAGATGTCTAGAGGTAAAAGACCGAGTTTAATAAATTATTATGTATTGAACTGGGATTTAAACATATAACTAGTTAACGTGTTTCACAGGTATCTATAACCTTGGAAACATCAGAAACAATTAATCCTCGTGTAATACACCCTTCACGAAGGGTCTCACCGACAATAACCAAGGTATCCTTTTTGCAGCTTGTGTTGTGAACCATTATAAAATTTGTACTATGTGCAGTCAATGTTTACTCGTTTAGCATTAAAGTCTAATTTGACAAAACATTTTAAAAGTAATCCTTGTTGTACATGTTTCATTCTATGACTTACAGACTGAACTTTGCCTCTAGTCCAAATGATGAGTTATGTAAGATATATTTCTCAGTGTTAATGCCACATGGCCTACGCTTTGGTCTCAAGTCTTAACAAGTTCATGAAACTAGTACAAGGTTATGTTCGATGGTTTAGCTACATGGGTACCCCATGATCAGATGCCATTTGTGCATGTAGTTTGATTAGGATGTATACTTGATTTTGTTTGTTGGCATTACTTTAGATGCATGCCATTCCAAAGTACCCATTCTTGATAAATGGTACAATGAAGTTCCACCTTCAATAAAAGCCACTGCAAAATCACCGTATTCACAAAACTTGCTAGTAGCCTTTGTATTTTACATGTACTGGACGCAAATGTCCTCGCCTTCTATGTCTCTAGATCCTTCACAATGGCTGCAATGATGATGATTATGTGTTGGCTGATGTGAGACAGTAGGGTAAAAAGGCAAATGTAACTGGGTGATGGCACTCATGTCGGTTCACTGTAGCTGGAGCAGGTCTGCTACCATCCGCCCCCTGTGCAGCATAGCACACAAATCATTAAACCCATGACTGGATGCAGTCGCCATCTCCACCTTTGGACCCAAAGTTGGATGCAGCATGAATTGCACCATCTCTGCATTGAAATCAAGCTGCCGCCGCCCACTAATACATCCCCACCACTAGACCCGAACACCAGCCAGCTTTGTGGTAGTTATCACGCTCCTCTTTGAGACCGACTGCCTGCTGAGGTGGCTAGTTGGAGCAGGTTGTTGTGTTCGAGGCTCAACCTCTGCAGGGTGTGTGTGCTCACGTCTCCTCTTCTTTAAAACAAATGCCACCAGGAGCAAGTCCCTGGTTGGTCATTTTAAAATTCGAGGAGGTCAGAGATGTGAGGTTGCTATTGATAGAGGCTAACCAGACAAGGTGGCTACTAGTGCAGCATTGGCTGAGGTCGGATGTGCCTAGGGGTAGGTGGGAAAGCATGACCCTCCGTTCCGAAAACTTCTTTAAGTTTGACTTAGCCTGTAGAAAAATATATTAACATCCACCACATCAATTTTGTATTATTGTATTTGTCATAGAATATATTTCCATGCTATATATATTTGATGTTAGTGGTCGGACCCTTCCCCAGACCCTGCGCAAGCGGGAGCTACATGCACTGGGGCTGCCCTGGCCTATATATATTTGATGTTCTAGATATTAGCATATTTTTCTATATACTCGGTCAAGCATAAAAATAATTGACCTAGCATAAAAGTATTTTGGAATGGAAGTAGGTAGTAAAAGGAAGAAAACATGTAGTCCGATGACATCTTTCCTAATTTTTCGAGTTAGTAGTGTTATTAGTGGCATTTTTCATAGTTGCAATTACATATCTAAACAACCATGTTTTCAAGATTCAGAAAACAGAAAAGGAAATGTGCTGATGCCCTCAAATATTCCCATGACAAGTCATGAACTCGTGATCGCCAATAGATAATGTGATAAGAACTCTTCCTATGTTTACCTAATGATGACAATAATAGACATATTCCAGCAGTATCAGATGTCACGAGTCCTTAGGCCTTGTACAATACAGTGATTAGAGAGGTGCTTGGGAAAAGGAACCGATTTTTTTGTTAAGCACTGATGCTTATTTGTATTGCACAGACGCTTAGGCACCTCTGCTATAGGAACAAGCACCGGTGCTTAAACAATATTCGGTTTATTTTTACAAACAACCTGCCTAAGCTATGTTGGTCTATTTGAACATCAATTTCTATTCTGTAAAACGCTAACCTGTGTTATTTTGTGATCCAACGTTGACTCTCTGATCAGGTACACAGCGAACATCATGAAGTTGTTGCAGATCTTCACCAGACAAGTTTTCTCTTTTCAATTCCTATCGATGGACCAATGTCATTTGCTACCTCAAAGGTTTCTGTACAGTGGTCCCTTAGATTTGAGTTCTTCACAACTCCGGCAGGAATGGACTCATCACGGTATGGGATGTGATGATTTTATGGAGTGAATTTTCTAGTTTGCTGCTGCTAGCTCTGAGTGGTCAATTCTGGTCTCTATTTGGCAGGTATGAGCACCCACTTCTTGTTGAGAAAAGAGAGAAGGGGGACTGGATCCTCCCAATAACAGTTTATGCACCGCCAATGCGTAGACGAGCTACTCATGGAAGAAACGATAGATCTGCATTGGTTGGAAATCTTCTCAGCTCTTGAAGGTATGCACTCTGTCTGTCATCGGATTCTTGCCTGTCTCGCCTTTGCCAAAGGTGTTACTTAGTGAAGCCGGAAAAGTACGCAACAATGTCAAAGTAGTTGTTAACTGTGAGCTCTTAAATGATCAGTAAATTTTTAATACCAACTGAAGTGTCCCTTCTTACTGAGTCGCAGTCTAGCTTCTGGTTGATGTATAGCTCTAGGTTAATTGAACAACTTGTGCTTATTCCATTTGGTTTCTTTGCATCTTCGTCCTAGTTCTAGCGGTTACATCATCTCTGTTATTATCTTTCCAACTATATTGAAACGATTGATGTGTGTTAACTTTTCGCTGTAATACGCAGATAATCTGAATACCCTGCCCTCTTGTATCTTACCTCAGGCCCACAAGTTGCTGCTATCATTTGTAAATCGGTATCCGTGGACCTTCGGTGAACTATCTGTAGTCCGGCATGCACAACTGGGCCAGTTCATATGTGTAAAATACCTAGAAGGTTTTGAAGAAGACTGAGTGAGGGGAAACTTGGGCTACAGAAATAGTCTGCTTCTGTCTGATGTATAGTCCATCACCATTGAACAGAGCAGGAACCGTGGAACTTGATTTACGTGATGCGGACATCAGTCGTGCAAGGTACCATACCATACCGACCGTTAGCGCACCCAATGTATATATTTTTACCAATGGACTAGCTTTTTGGGGTGCTTGATTAAGCGATTACACCCTTGCGGTTGGTTACATATACTTGGGATATCCTCCTTGTAACTGTTTTCTGGAAACCATACATGATTGCACGCTTGTTGTCCGGACTACACACGTATTGTTTCCTCGAGGCTGCTCTGCAGAGTTGCGGCAATTTTGCACGGATGGATGCTTCTTCAGTTCAAAGCTGTATACTTGCTTGTTCAGTCGCAGAAACCTTAAGTCCAGGCTCGACTCTGTCGACGAACAATGTTTCTTTGTGAACGAAGCATGCCGGTCTCTTCTTCTGGGGTATGTTGGCATTGCGATAAATAACAGCAATTCCCCTCTTCTATTTCCGTGTGGCCAGTGCCGTCGAATCCTAGCACAAGGCTTTCAGGCTTTGTTGCCGCTCCGGTCCGGAGCATGATCGCGGAGGCACCAAACTGCGAGGTCCGCAGTCACTTGATCTTGTGCCGTGACACAACGATCGCGTCCAGCTCGGCCAGGATCGACGTGTGCATGAGGCGTCATTCGCAGGCATTCACGTCCCACCGTACCCTGTGCGCTCGTCCCCACGTTAGGTCCCCTGTCACCCCGTCACCCTGCCAGACGCCAGTTGCCACCGTGATCTCCAGCCTCCAGCTGATGATCAGAAGCAACGGACCAAAACCAGAAGTCAAGCCGGAGACCAGAAGCAACGGACCAAAACAAGGGCCGCCGTCGCTCTCGCCCCGGCCGCCGCCGCTGGGAAAACCGGAGCGCTCGCCTGCCTGACCGGGAAGTCAAGCCGGAGAAGGCGGTTTCGGAAAGGTGGCCTGCACCTGCCGCTGCCTGCCCGACCTCTCAGGGGGAGGAAACAACTTCTCAGGGGCCGTGTTCCTTCCCGTCCTGGTCGCTGTCCAACTTGCACCTCCCGAGTGCTACTTCTCGTACCTGCACCCTTTAATTAGGAGTTGACACTGGGGTCAACTTGCACTGGGGAACACAGGTATTTCATCACTTGTATATCAACACACCGGGAATCTTAGTATGTCTCTTCGATGGTATAGTCGGCATGTGAAGGAACACAGATATTTCATATGTATATGAAACACACCAGGATTCTTGTATAGGAGACAGTTCACAGTTCAGTTTTTGTACAACAATTACCGCGCTAGAAATGTGGACTGGGTAACTCCGTAACTGTCTTATCTTGCCTTTTTTTTATAGTTGTCTTGTCATGTTAATTTGCTGGTGATTTCCTTCTTTGGTTTCTGGAGATATTTGTTCTTCTCCAGTGCGGAGAAACTGATGAGCAAAACAAGATGATGAAGTAGTCAGTAGATGACACAATTCTATTCTACATATAGCTACCCCTATTCCTTTCCATGTAGTTACTTATTACTGTTTCTACCATACCCACAAGTTTGGAGAGGAGATTAGCGACGCAGTAAGCAGTTTAATCAGCGCAACATCACTTAATTACCCAGCCCGCTGATGCCCACCTTGTGACATCACAACCTCGAGGTCCAGGGCACGAGGGGGTTTGAATAATTGGCGCTCTCTTGTTTACGCTAGAAAGATCTCATTCATGGACGTGGATCCAACCGATAACACAGGACGTTGGCAATAAGAAACGGAGTGCCTATCAGCCCCAGCTATTGTTTATCAGCGCGTCTCTCTCGATTAACACAGTTGATGAGGACACACCATGCTGTGGTTGGCCGTTGGGGCAGCCTCAAAGGGTGAGCAACTTTGATGGGTGCTGCCTCTATCTAATGGTCCAATTAGTAGTAGCTTCCAACTAGTTAGTTAGTTAATCAGAGAGCTCTCGACTCAAATGTCGTCGTGCTAATCAACTAGTTTCTCAGCACAGGATTTTTCTTCTCTTAGCTTGCATCTTGCCTAGATGGGTAGTTGGCTATCAACTTATTGTTTCCACAGTTTTTTAATTTCGTAGTTTTCTTTTTGCGCTTTTTATCTCATATATAGTAGTTGCTTGCTCAGAAGCGAGGTTTCATGCTTCATTCCTTTGTAAATCCTTTATACATACTCATTCCGGTCGTATTTTCATTAACAAAAACCCAAAAGCCAGAGAAGAAAAGGCCATCAAATAAGAGACCGAACGCAGATAAGAACATATAATGGGGCATTCCATGTGCAACTGTTATTGAATACTACCAGTAACTAACGTGGCAAGGCCTCTAGCACATCCCTACCATTGTTTGGGAACAACCGCTCTCAAAATGCTAATTAAGCAACCACAGGGAAAAGTCTACTCTTGTCAATGGGGATAACTGATATTTCACAACCTTTCCATTTGACTTCTGAAAGCTGCCAAAAAAAGAGCCACTAGCTCAATTTTCTAGCCAACCTTAACGTTTGGTAGCAGTTGGGTGGTGACAACTGTGCTATGGGAACAACAAAAGGCCACCACCCAAAAGTTCTTTCTTGGACACAATATGGTTGATGTGCCAGATACTCTCATTGGGCATTTGGATTTTCCGAGAGGCCGCTGGGATTGAGTTGGATATCCAGCATCTTGGGGAGACATGGATAACAGGGTAGATACAAAGCACAATCCTCCATTATTTCATGGGTCCAACATGTTTTGTCAGGTAGTCACAATTTTTCTTTACGGGTACTAGCGTCGAACAATGATTGAGTGCCGTACCGGAGCAAACGCCAATATTCAGCGGTTTCGTTCTTGCCTGTTTTGCCTACATACAAAGCACTTAGAAACCCAGGGAAAACATGTATGATGTTCTTAGTGTAGATGGAGGGGTACGCCTACGGTGCATGAATCCAGAATTGAATTTTCTCCTAGAGATCAAGGAATTGAAGACATGAGAGTGACAAAGAAGCTAAGGTGACTAGTGATAGACTTTGAGAGGGCTCAGGTGGGCACTGATCTAGTTAACGCATATAGAGAAACTTCTTCCATGCATTTAAGGGCTGAAAGTGAGATCAAAGGTTGCTCATTGCACATAATATCCTAGGATTTTTATCATTGGGATAAGATGCATGGTAGATGAGTACTGGATATTTCCTGGAGTCTTTGGCCATTGATTGACAAGGAGTTGGCTGAATAAAAGCTAATAGTCAACTAAATTTGAGCATCCATAGCTTTGTCTGAATTTATAAGCTACCCTTTGGTACGGCTATCTATTCTGAAGTACAGAAGTACCACATCTTAGATCAGTAGTACTATTATGTGTGATTATTCCAATTGTTAAAAAGGAACCACTGGATCTTGTTTAAGATGCCAGAACAAGCAAGTATTTGCTAACAAGTTACCTACGGATTAGCATACCGCAAGCATCGTTTTCTGCCAGCGTGCTTACACCGCTGCATATTGCTAATGACAACACACAACCGGACTATTAAAGACTTCACCTAGAAGAATGGTGGTACAAAAATATAATTATTCCCATCAAGGTATTACGCAGCTTTTCATAGTCACATACACACACCTGATTGTCCACATCATTTTGCAACTAGTAAAGAGAAAAACAGACACCACTTAGCAGAGCATCCTTTGTCTGGTGCAGCTACTGAATTGATGGAATCATGGGGCTCCATCTTGTGCAAAAAGAGAAAAATGTTATTCAGATTGAGTATGATTTTCCTTCCAAAAACTACTTGGAATGATGATCAAGTGCAAGCGCAACTACAGTTTGAAAATAGAAGTGCACCGGTATCGATGGAGTTTTGAAACCATCACTGTTCTGTTTGTTCTCCACATGGCATTTTCAAGATGGAACAATTATTTACATTTCTGATCGAGACCGAAAACAAATGTAGGCACCCAAACCGATCATATTCCTTGGATGATCATTGATCATCATCCCACCAGGGAGGCTTACATAATCACTACTAGTATTTGCAACCATGGGCGCAAGTTCTTTCAAGACCACTGTAAATATGTTCATCTAGTGAAAGAGAGAAAAGAATCCATTTCTCTCAACCAAAGTGCAAAAAATTCTCACAAAAACAAGATAAAGATCACAAGAACAGCTCTGGCTAACTAACTAAGCCAGAAAGGAGGCGCACATTTCACCAACTAAATCCATCCTCGGCGCCCCCAGCGGCTGCTGCAGCAGGTCAGGAGCCATCATCCCCTGGAACACGTCCTCCTCCAAGAAGCTCAGGAAGCCCCCGGGGTTGAGATCCATCCACAGCTCGCTGAAGTCGAGGTCGCCGCCGCCGTAGCCCAACCCTCCTTCCTCCACCTTCACCACCTCGCACTTGATCTTCTTCCTCCTCTTGTTCTCCTGCTGCGCCACGAAATCGTCCGCCAGCGCCGGCGCTGGTGCCAGCCTCTTCTTCTGCGGCTGCG